TTTTTAATAATAATTCAAAATAACATTTTTTTAATTCATTACATCAAATTTGTAATAATTTTAAATTTGTTTTTTAGTTACATATTTTAATAAAACAGGTCATTATAATAAACGAGAATCATTTTTACAATTAGAACAAAAAATTCACTTAAGTATCGATCTTCTGTTTTTTTAGTGATTTTTGCAATTTAATAAATTTTTCATTTTTTGTCATTTTTCTTGTTTTAACAGTGTTAACTTTTTTATTGTTGTTTTTTCTTGGCTTTTTTTCTTGATTTACTTTCAACATTCTTTTTGATTTTTCTTTTTTAGAATCGTATTTGAAACATTTTTCTTCTGTTTGTATAAACACGTTAGATTCTTTTTTGTTTGTTTCGCTACATCATGTATTTCCACTTGTTTAGACACTTCAGTTGTAAAACAAAATGATTCCACGTTTTCATCAATGTCAGTCTTTTCTATATCGTCGTTGACTACAACTGACACACAATTAGAAACTATTTTAATATATTCAAGTGGACTGTTGTATAATCCAGATCTATAATTTTCTTCGACGTTTTCAATTTCACTGTTTTTTGTTAATCTATTTCTTTTGTAAATACCTTTTCCTTTCATTTTATCAAAAGCAACATTGTCTTCAGTTTCTATTCTCAAATAATTAACAAACCATTCAAGTTCTGTTGGTCGTTTGTTGTGAAATCTTTTAACAAAAGCAGAGTGGAATGATTCTGTAATATTATTTGTTTTATATGCGTTTCCATAATGACTCCACAACGAGGGAGGGAAATTACCTTTTATCCAAGTACGGTTAAAATATTCGAATAGTCGCACTTCTTTACAGTTATTTTCATTTGCATTTTTTTTATTTCACAAAACGTTTTTTCAATATCTTCCGGTTTTAAGTATGACAAATTCATTAACAATCTTGCTTTTGAGTGAAACATTTGGTCATTTTTATAGTCTATTCGCAACCCATATTCAACAATTTTTCTGTAAATTGCTTGGCATAAATGGAAAAAACACCCACTAACTTTACAACCCATTTTTTCCAATGCCAGTTTTGCTGCACTTTCAAAATCAATCATACATTCTGTTGTAGTGTTGAAAAGTTCGGCATTTATTAAATTTTTAAGAAAAATGTTAATGTGATTAAACAATTCTAAATAAGTACTTTGTTTTTTGTTTTTTAAAAGACAAGAAAAAAGTAAAAAATGTTGATTGTTCTGATAAACACCATGAATAAAATAAGTTTGATAAAATCCATCCGGTGTGGTCGAATATGTGCCATCCAAAAACAGTGTCGTTGGTAATATTCCTTTCATTTTAAGCAATTTGTCAACATTACAATGTATTAAAATAGTGTCACTTTTATATATTAAATATTGTGAATAATCTGGATGTGAATTGAAACTAATATCAGGAAAATGTTTTTTTCTTTTTCTAAGAAAGATCCTTTTAGTACTACTTTTTCTTCTTTTTTCGTGTTGGTAATCATATTCATCTAAAACCTTTTCGGTGTTCTCAAACCTGTTTTTGACATCAGAAGCTAAACTTTCCAGTATATCATCCGCCTTTGCTCTTTCTATTGGATTATCTGAAACATCAGAATGAATTGTTTGACTAGAAGTATACTTGAAAGATACAAATTTGGTTATATTATTAATAGATCCTTCATAATCAACAATTGTAATTGAAACTCCGCAATTTCTGTCTTTACATCTAAATTTTAACAAAGAACCACCACTTTGATGAAAAACATGCCCATCAACAACAGGAAGTAATTTATTACTTTGAGTTGACTTTACAGATTCAATGTTATTATATAATGTTTGAAATTTACCTAAACCACCGTCAGCATTTTCAATTAATGATTTTAAACTGTTAATATCAGAACTTATTGTTGTGACAGTTGGTTTTATTTGAAAAGTTGTTTTCAATTGTTTTGAATTGGCTTTGACTGTATTTGAAGTATCTGTTAAAGCACAAGGCAATTGATAATTGTTTAATATAATATCATTTTCATCTTTGTTACAGTGTCCGATGAATTGAGGCAAATATTGTTGAAAATTTGTATGTTGTGTGTAACACAGAATAGGACCGATTCCATTTATTGGTATAATTGGATATTGAAAAGTAACATTAACTTGCCTGTTTATATTTGGTAAGTTACTTGTGTTTTGGAACTGCGAATAACAAAAAACATTTCCAAAGTTACAAATAGGATTATTTACTGTTTGAGATACAAATGATATAGGTTGATCAACTAATCCATAAGATACAAAAGGATACTGATTTGGTAGCATTGATTATTCAGTTATATCAAAATCTGAATATATATAAAAGCATTTAAAAATAACTTGAAAAAAACATCACAATTTTAATTTGTGTTTTTAAATACTTTTTTATCAACAAAATAATTGTGTATTTATTATAAATATTTGTATTTTAATAATTTGATAATTAAAAAATAATCAAAAAATAATCAAAAAATACAATTTTTTATTTTTAGATTTTTTGAGTGAAAAGTCTTGAGTGAAAAATCTGTCAATCATTCTAATTTGACATTCTGACTATTCCTATACAGAAGTAATAAAACCAACTTCGGAAGGTGTTGGAAATTATATACCAAATTAAAATAGATATTATAATTTATATGTTATAGTTATAACACTGTAAATTTATGAATTGGACAAACATAGTGTACCGTTAACCTCGTTTGTTGTGAGAACAAACGAGTGATATTTGAGTGTTAATCATTGCTCTTTATATACCATTTTCATTACCATTTGTATAGTTTTAGTTACTATAATTTTTTTTATATAGTTTCAAAACTCAAAGAAAATTCATAATCCAAAAATCGTTGAGTTTTATAATTTCTATATTTTTGAATTCTGAGATAAGAAATATGTTTTTTTATTACAATTTTTAACATAAAATATTATTTATTATAATTTATTTAAATACTTGAAATTAATTCGATTTTTGGTGTTTTTTCAATATTTAAATAATATTATTATTGTAATATTATTAATTATGAATGTTGATTACCAAAGAATATAATTATTGTACAAAGAATTAGTACTTCTTCAAACAAAAAATATAATAACATTAATTAAAATTGTTGTATAATCAATTGTTATAAATAAACTATCGCAAATTATTATAAAAAATAATACAAAATGTTAGTTAAACTTCTATATAAAAATCTAATTTCTGTTGATTAATCCCTGTACAATTCGTTGATTTGCTTTTGCATCTTCTCTGTTCTTTTCATCGCGAAGTCAATTTTTTAGAAACCCCATCGTTAAGTCCTGAATGTGCTGCCACAATATCATTGACTTTTACACCCAATTTGGTGACTTGGTCAAACGTTAGTCTTTCTTTACCGTCTTGTTTCCAACACGATTGAATGAGTTGCGCATAGTCAGATGGCATACTTTCATCAAGGCAAAGTCTTTTTTTATTCAGGACATGGTCTTTTATTTCAAAAATAGATTTGAACTCTTTATAAGGCTCTTTTTGATAGAAAATTTCTTATCTGTAATGCCATAGAAATAGACATCACCAGAGTATGTCTATTCGTCGTGGTATGTTTTTGGAGCCGCATATACAGGAGTACAAGCACTTTGTCTTCATTCTTTTTCATTGTCTTTTTAACAAATCTTGAGGTACCAAAGTTTGTAATCTTGACCGAACACACAGAGTGTGGATCGAGTGAATTGACCAATAAATTGTCTGGTTTCAAATTTAAGTGCATAATTCGATTTTCATGTAAAATTTGCATACCTTTTGCTGTATCAAACAACATTGCACTTTTAACTTGTAAGGCATTTTTAAACAGTTTTGTTTGTCTTGTCTTAGATACTCATTTAATAAACCATAAACAAAGAACTGAATGACCATTGAAACCTGTGGAATGTAAGTAACTGCTCCCATGTAATTGGCAATGAATGGATTTTGCAATTTACGCATAATATCACATTCTGACACAACTTCTCTTTTAAATTCCTTCATCTCTTAATCTTTAAGACTCTCCCATCTAAACTGCTTGATGGCAACTGGTACACTTCTGTAATCACCAATGTACACTTTGCCCATTGCTCCTTCAGCTATTGGATTTTCCGACATATTCAATTCGTCCATATCCAAATGGACTGTATTCATAGCATCTGTTGTTATAACCAAATTTTCATAGTGCCGCCTTCCTATATTTTTACAAAGACTTTCCATCTTCTTTCTATAATTTTCAGTCCAATTATAAAAACTTTTATTCTTCAATAATGATGCAACTGATTCTGAAGTGCTTCTCGAAGACGCAAACCAGACAGAGTATGGTATTCTCAAGTCTCTGATTCTAGTTGTGCAACGAATTGTCATAAAACAAGTCATAGTATGCATTAAAGATAATTTTGGTCTTAAGTTAGAACTTGTGGATCGAAATAAAATGTATATTTGGGGTTGCTTGGAGTGTGGAATATCACCATCATCCGTTTGTTTTTGGAGCAATTTTTAATTTCCATTTTTTCGAATCTGGTATCGCCAATAGCAGTCAATTTGGTGTCATTTCCAAAATCAAGTCGTGTTGAGTTATGTAATATCTTGACTGTTTCCCACTAAGTGCTCTTTTTGCTCCAGTGATATAGAAGTGATAAATTGGTTGTTGTGTTTTGTGGATGTTGATATCAATTTTTTATCTAAATACAAAGATAAATACAATTAAAAGGAAACAAAAGATAACAACAAATGCAACTACCCCTCCTATTACTATTCTATTATTTCACCGGCACTTAAGTCTTTTGCAAACAACTCAAAAAATCATTCGAAGATTGAACATGGCCCTCTATACATTGGCAAGTGATATTACAGTTAACTCCTCCATCACACTCTTCTTTTCTAATGAATTTTCCATTGGAGTCATAGTAATTGTCTATCATACCATTACCACATTTATCATATACACAAACTCCAGCTTTTAATGTGTAGTTTAAGGATGTATCACATGTACGTCCAGTTTGACATCTTTCACTTTTTCGTTTACATTCATCCCCATTTCCAAGCTTATTATTTCAACATTCCGAAGTGACACAAACATGGTTTTGTACACTTTTTGGGTGCATCGACAATACTGATCAGTCTTTTGACCCAAATTAACAAAGATTCGCCTCTTCATTTACCCGCCTTCTTCTCTTGTAATAACACAAAAGGTGAAAATCTTATCCACCATAACCACTGTTACATACACACTTTCTTGCATCTGAATCACATTTTCCAAATTACAATTATTAGGACAAATGATAGATACAGTCATGATAATTGATGCTCTGTAATCTTCTGACAAAAACGACAAGTATTTCTTTTTCCCATCCGAATCAAGTTTGACATGAACTCCATTGGCTTGCTACACTTCATTCTCCTCTTCTCTATTTTCAATTGAAAGCAGTTTTTGTCCAGTACCAACTTTTACACATTTTCTTGACACAAAATTGTTATTTTCATCATTGTCAGATTTACTTGACTCAAGTAATTGAGTGAAGTAAATATTTACTTGAATCGATTTGATGACCTTGTATCTTTGAAAATATATCCTTTCCCTGCACATTTAACAGTAAATAACAACACCTTCATATATTTGTTTGGCATGCAGGCGGGATTGGCTAAACAACCAAATTGTTCAAATGGAACAACTAACAACTTTTTTGTTGAGTCCTCAGAAAGGTATGTTAACATTTCTTGAGTCAGGTCAATAGCAAGTAGAACCTTCAAACCTTGTTCTTCTTTGAGTTCAATAGAAAATGTCAACTTATTAGTAAATCCACAAAATGAAGCAAAAAAGAAGTTAGAATGTTGACTCGTTAAATTTTCTAAACATCGAATTGAATCGGGAACTTTCCAGTCGTTTCATATATATTTTTATTTAAATTGAAATGGATATAACAATGTGGATTGATATTGTGAATTTGTGAATTTGTTCCATCAACAGAAAATTCAACTGCATTCTCGGTGCTGTCCAACTTTTTAATTGTGATAGCAACATAATCTTTAGTCATTTATGAAAGGTTAAATTTAAACCATTTTCTTTTTTTAAACTTCTATGGGAAGAAACATATTGAAAATTAAAGATAACCACTTTTTTTTATTAACACTGATTTTTGATAAAAATAGTGAAAATAATATTCAACACATTTCCATGATAAACCCATAAATATACGTTTTTTCTTTGTTCAGAAACCAACGAATAGACACTTTTATTGAATTTGCATTCGAAATGTTATTACATTAAAACATAAAATGTTCATGGTCAGTCTTTTTAGTTATTATTAAAAAACACAAAAAATAAATTATTCAAAATTTATTAATTTGTTTTTTGTGTTTTACAAAATTTCTATTTTACTCAGAATTATAATCTTTAATTTTTATTGCATATTGTTTTCGAACCCAATCTTCAAGTTAACCCCAAAATAGAATCACACAAATTAAATTATTTGTTTGTTAAATTCCAAATTTAATCTATGTTCTATTTCGGATATAGAAAGTCTCTCATTTTTATTATGACACCAACACTCACATATCAAAGAATAATGTGAATTTAACATGTTGTCCAGACAAGGTAGTCTTTCGCCAGATACAACATACTCAACAATCTTCCATGGAAATTTAAACTGTTTAACTGGATATGCTTCACACCACCCAAATATTTCGTACATAGTCACACCAAACGAATAAATGTCTGCACTTTTCTTGTACTTTTGTTTGTTTAATATTTCTGGTGCCATATAAGTTGGTGTTCCAACATTTTTTGTGAAAGTCATATTTGTCATAAGTAAATTCACACTTCTGGCACTCCCAAAATCAGTTAGTTTTGCGTTCACTTTTTCACAAAAGTCCATTGAAAATATCAAAATGTTATCCGGTTTGATGTCTCTGTGCAAAACGCCGTTTTCATGGAGATAAAAAATACCCTTTGCAGCATCAAAAAGAAATTTGATTCGAAGTTTCACATCGACTTCTTCAGATGTTTTGTGTTTCATCAAATCTTGCAGAGATCCAAATGATGCAAATTCAGTGACCATACACACTTTATTTGGTATAAACACAGCTCCGTAGAAGTGTACGATATTGTCACTTCTGAATTTGTCTAACATATTAACCTCCTTTGTAAATTCATCATCATCATCATTTTTTATTTCTTTCTTTTTTTTAATGGCAACACAATTCCCTCTGTATATTCCTTTATACACAATTCCAAACGATCCTTCACCGATCACCTTCTCTTCAATCAACTCGTCGAAATCCAGTCGTGTTGTCATTTTGGTTAGTGCACGGATTTTCAATGGAAATTGGAAGTTCTTTCCTTTCTTCATATCAACAGCAAATAATGTGATTTCCTCGTCGATGTTGGTTGAGCACAGTGGCATCAAAAAGACTTCGAATTCAACAGCCTTTCCTTCTGGTATTGCAATGACTTGTGGTTCTGCATATATATGATATTTCACATTTGAAGTGTTGAACGTGAATTGGACTTTGACAGTATGATGTAAGGTATTTCCAACACATATTAACTCACGATTTTCACTATCAACATCTATCAAGGTATCACCATCATTTTCAAAAATTATTTCAGTTTTGTTGACTGAAATAAAAGAATTCTGAAGTTTCACAAAATTGATGTTTGAGGAATTCATTGAGAAAAGACACGTTTTCTTTTGTAAGTCACGCACCTTTCCTTTCTCTAATATGTAATACACTGTATATAATATTAGAACAGTGGAGATGATAATTATGAGCACAATAAACATGACGATGATTAGTATTATCCACCACACGGCATGCTTGTCACATGACGTTTGTGTAACACCAGTTTCATACCAAAAATCGCATTTGGTGCATTTTGAACTTTTCACTTCAACACAATGTTTTACTTTTTCCATTGATAAACATTTGTTGTTGGATAAAACGTGATTTGACGAACAAGATGTGCATACTCCCAATGTGTCACATCTATCACAAAAAGTAGTGAGTGTGTTACAACTATCACAAAATTGGTTGTACACATAAAACCCGTCAACACATTTTTGACATCCAAATTTGCTTTTAATTTCACAATTTTCGAGTTTATCGAATTGAATACATTGTGTTGAATTTGTGAGTAAAAAAGTGTTATCATTGCAAGTAATGCATGTTGACTTTTGGTTGCAAAACAAACAGTTGTCAATACACTTTTCACACTTACCTTTGTCATTTCTGAAAAACGAATCCTTACATATAGCACACTTTGAAGAGCCTTCAATCACTTTCTTGCATTGTGTCTCTTCATTGGAAATGATAACACAACTATTGTTTTGAAGAGTATACAACGAGGAACATATCAAACAAACATCTTGAGACGCACAGTAAACACAATTCGGAGAGCATTTTTTACATGTAAAATTTTTGAGATAATAATTACTATCACAACAAATACAACGGTCTTGTTCAGATTTAAAAATTGAACAGTGGATATCTTTAAATTCACTCGATTTGCATGTCAAATCTTGTGATATAACAAAAGTATTTTCACATGTGACACATTTTCCGTTTTTGTTTGAAATATCACAATTGTTGGATAATACACAAAGTCCGTTCTCGTTAATAAATTTGTTTGTTAAGTTACAAGCAGTGCAATGTACATTGTCGTTTGAAGTACATCCAGTCGTCATCTCTATTTCACACAAATTGTTTTTGGTATAAACACTATCTTCACACTTTTCACAATATGTTGGTGTGCATCTTTCACACAATTTCCCATACTTGTTTTTACATGATTCACATTGCAAATTCTGAGAGTTATAATAAAACCCTTGTGAACACAAAACGATGTTTGTGTTGTCTGTTAAATTTGCATTTAATTGTGATAAACATCCCCCGTTTTGTAAAATAAATTTATTATCACATATTGTACAAGTGTTTTCATCAACACACACCCGACAATTTGAGTCGCATTTTACACACTCTACATATCTAGAGTAATACCCTTCCTTACATTTCATAATTAAATTATGTTTGGCTAAAATGGTGTTATTTGGCGCGTCACAAATGCTAACTCCATTTTGTTGAACCAACAAATAGCCAAAATCACATAAAACGCACCCATCCTTCACACATTTTAAACACCCATTTGAACATTCAAAACACTTGTTTTTGTAAAAATAATACGAATCAGGACACGATTCACACACCTTTGTTGTAACATTTGTTTGTATTGTTGATAACACACAATTATCATCATAATTTTCGCATTGATTATTGAGTAAATACGAATTCTTACAGTATTTGCATGTACTCTTTGTTTTGTCAACAAACAACGCCGTGCAATTTTGCATTTCATTGGACACAACATCAATCGTTTGAGTTGTAATGTTATTTGTACAACTAAAACCGTATTTTTCACCAATAAAAAGTTTAATATTTTGGTTAAAGACTGAAATGTTGCTGTTATCAATTGATTCATTTGCAATATAAATGATATTTGAAGTGATTGTATCGTTGAAAATAATATGACTTTCTTTGGTCTTTGTAAATTTCAGTGTTGTAACATTTTGATTGAAAGTACCATTAAATCCAATGTTTTGCATCACTTCGTTTGTCTCTATATAAATGGTTGTATTTACATTAGTAATTGGACAATGCAGTGCATTTCTATATGATGTATATACACTCATATCTTTCTGTTCTAATATGCAGCCAATGTCGTAATTATACTCTATTGGACAAATTCGTAGTATTTTTCTTCCTAAATACAACGACATGGTAAATAATTGCAGATTTCTGTCTTTCTCTTTTTCAAAAGAAACGAACTCAAAGCATTCGATTTGGTTTTGACTTGTTGACATGCCCATTCCATAATTGTCATCAAAATTAAACAATCCATTATCTCCAAATATATCAACAATACCATTTTGATTGATATTGTTAAAAGTATCATCAAAATAGATATGGGAAAGTCCCAAATATCCATTGTTTTTTACAACAAATTTGGCGTTTTGATGAAAGTTGACATTTCGAATATGAAATTCTCCATTCACTATGAGTGTCGAGTTAATATCACAATATGTTGTTGATATTATATTTTGACTTGTTGATATGAGTGTCACGTTGTCCATATTTAATATGATTTTCTCCCAAGTTTTTGATGTCGTTGTTGTGTAATTATTGTTATTGATTGCCAAAATAAGTGAAGGTGTGCTACTAGAATTTTCACAATCATTAAAAGATGGACTGTCGGGTGAAAATGGATAAGAGTAAAAGTTATATTCATACATACACGTGCAAACTTTCTCTGTGTGATTTTTCATAACAGCACGATGACCACAGACAGTCAGTGTATTTGTGTTGTCATTTAACGATCCCCGAATTTCAAATAGAATCGAGTCCGAGTAATCTTCTTTATTCAAAATGATATTATTTATTGTCAAAGACTTTTTAAATGTGTAATTGGCAATCGACGTGATTACCAAATTTTTGACAATACAATTGATTTCAAATACAAGACTTTTGTTCTGTTGAAGCTCCAGTCTTTCAAAATATATTACATTTAATGAAGACTTAAATATGTACGTCTGGTAATTAGAAACAAGAGGGATATACCATTTGTTTATTGATAAATTAACTTCAGTGTTATTGTTGTTGTCCTTTGTAAGTTTTGTTAAGTCCAAATCGAAGTACGATGAGTTAAATCGACAATCACTGATATTGAAAGAAGTATTGTCGTCTTTGATGTAATTTGTATTGGGTATACACCCACACAGAGTACTTTCATTTACCAAGTTTTCATCATAACTTGTTGTTAGCATAAAGAATCTTTTAAGTGAATACATAGAAGTACTAATCGTCCGTTTGCAAACAATTTTTACTTTCAAATCTTGGTGCAATGAAAATTCCCATTGTATTGTTGGTATTTGTGTCAAATCATTACCACTGAATAAATACCGAAGATATGAAAATTCCATATTTCCAAAGTTTGTATCAGAAGTAAATTGAAAGGTGGAATTTTGAATCGTTGTTCCATCAATAAAAAAATATGGTGAATATGGCATATTCGATTGTCTTCGGTAAACAATCCAATAACGTTGGTCAATATTTGAAAACAAATGAAGTCCACGTTTGTAAATAACGACGGTTGGGCGTTGTTCGTCATTTACTTGTGTTCTGCAATTTTCTTCGTTATTGAAACACCCCATTGAAATGAACAAATTATCAGTGCGACCACCTTCTTCAATGCAAATTCTTGAATCACTGAACTGTGTTTGTATGAAAAAATATAACAGATGAATTTCTTCAAATGTGAAAAGTTTGTAATTTTTAACCGAATATTTTAAATCAGAAAATGTAAGTGTAGTACTGGTACAACATGTTGCTAAAAAATTGAATTCATCAATATTAATGGTGTTTCCATTTTCTGTTGTTGTCCTCGTTGTTAACACAAAGTTTTTTTGGTTGCATTCATATGTTAAAAAACCATCTAAATAAATCACATTGTTCACTTCACAATAGGTTAAGACCATCTGGGAGTGAGCAAAAAATACAACAAACAACATCAAGTATATCCAATTAATCATTTTGATTAATTAAAAATAAGTTTGGTTGGAACAATAAACATTTATATTGAAAAAACACTCTCCAACCCCAAAACCTTTAAATGTTTAATTTTTTTTAAAATAAAGTCTGTCTAAAAACGTTGTTTATTTGACAAAATTTTACACAAAATAAGTTGAAAAAATTGGGAATTAGGAAAAAACGTTGAAATATACCAGTAAAAATTATGAAACAATGTTTTTGATATGTTTCGAACCTTTTATTGAAATATTTCAGTTTTGATGGTCCAAAAATGCCCGGACAAATTTGGAGAGCGGACAACGTTTTTAGACGGACTATAATTGTTTTTTATATCAACGAGTTGGGTTATTATATAACAAAATTGAAAATCGTATATTTAATTTATACGAATTTATATTGAAATTATACATTGATAACAACAATACTTAATTAAATGATTTATATAACAATGCTACCATTGTTTTATAATTCAGAATGTTATAATCATGGGCCGGCACAATTCCGTTTTTCTGTGTTATTTTTTTATTTTTTAGTGGCAAATCTTTAACACGTTTTTTTACTGAACGTGATATCCATTTTGGCGTTTGCAAGTAACAATTATAGAACAAGGGGCAAATAAAATGTCATTTGAATTGTTTTTTACAAAGCATTTTTGTTAAATAATAATTGATATATCAAATTCTTATATTATGAATGAACATTAACACTTTTCTAACAGAAAACCATTTTTTATATAAAGGCAAAGAAAAAATATTTGTCTTTAAACTTGGTTTTATTTTATTTGCTCAAGAAACCCCTTAAAAACCGAAACTTGCCAACTGACAGTTTTTTAATCAAATAAAGTATATTAAGACTAAATTACCTAAGAGTTGGAAAAAATTGTGTTGAAAATAAATATAATGAACTGTTTTATTTTGGACCCCAAAATGTTTAATTGCAAGAGAAATTGTTCGATGTGATTGAGTTTCTCGTTGGTCTATCAACTTTTTGAACAGTTTCTTTTTGTACAACACTTCATGTTTATTCGCTTGTAATCGAAATCGTTATTAATTTTATAGTCTTTTTGGAATAAACTACAAAAAAATTAACCCAAATATTTAAAACAAAACTATACTTTATCGAACTTTTTATTATAGGTTTTAGTTTATTAATTTGGTCAATCTATTAATAATGGCGTTTAAAACTATTTACAGTATGTGAGAATAGTATGTGAGAATGAGAAAACCCTGTGGATTCAACAAAAGTTACAATTGTGTAACTTTTATGTAATAAAATTATTATTTTTTTATTTCAAAAAATTCAAAAAGATCAAATAAAAAAATCACTTATTTACAGTTCATTTTCTCTTTCAATTTGTTTGGAAACCTACAAAGCAGCTTTCAGAGTGTGAACAGCCAGCCAGCACTTACCAACTAATTGACTCAGACCTCACGCTAAAGAATCCCAGGAATACTGGACAAATCAGCCATAGCAGCTAGACGATTCAAAGCAGGCAACGTTTAATTTAAGAGTTTTTGCGAGCAAGTTCTACAAGTTAATATCTCAATAACGAAAGAAAGTTTAACAAACGAATATTTTCTATTGGAAGGACTTATGATAGTTCAGACATATGTTGATTCAAACAGTGACCATTCTGACCTGTGATAGGAAACAGTAATATGAACTGGGCGATACAACTGATTAAAAAGATAAAAATCAATCGATTAAATTCTCAACCCCATTTTTAGTTCTTTTTGAGATTTTTTTGGTCGTCTTTTTCTTCACAACTTTACATACAACATCCCGTTCTTTTCTTTTTAACGGCTTGCAAACAGACTGACACGAATAACCCTCAAAACACATTGAAAGCTTTCGAACTGCAGATATTTTCAAGCTTTTGGTTTTGACGCATTCAATTGAGTATAACTGTGGTATACTTAACAGTTTCGGTATTTCTGCTGTTACTCTGCGTGAGACTCCAATATCCACATACGCAACCCTCATACCACTATCAACAATTCTGAAATCAATACCAACTTGCCTAAAAGCCTGAGTACACACATCCGTAGTAGTTGTTTGTAAATAAGATTTCATAATTAAGTTTAGGTATTTTACAAACTTTTTCCAACTCCCCTTTATCACCAAATTCAACAATTTTAGTTTCATTTGGTATTTCGTTGCGATCTTCTGATTGGTTGTCATCCACCATCCTTTTGTTGACAGTCGTAACAGCCTTCTTTTTAAATGGTGATATCGCTTCTTGTGGATTTGCCAGCACTTCCTGAAACATTTCCTTAAACTGTTGAGGTATTATTGGTTCTTCAATGGGATCTTGGTTTCCAATCACATCATCTGACTCTTCTTTTTCTTCAACGTCTTCACTTTCTGTCGTTGTTGTTTCTTCCTCGCCAACTCTATCTTTAATTTTTATAACATCTCTGAACTTAGCATACAACGAATTCAGTCTTCTTTTTTGGGCTGCGAACACCCCAACATCTAATGGTTGTGTTAAATGTGAGGTGTGAGGCACCAAACATACGATTTCACAGTTCACGTTGATGATTTTCTCGTTGACTTGGACATTCGACTTGAGCAACAACCTCACATCTTCGATTGAGTGGCACGTGCACTGATCAAATATCAGAACGGCCTTATCAATATAACCAGTCTTAATTCTCATGTCGACAATATAAGGTACTACAACGTCGTTGATGTATTGTATAAATAAGTCACTGTTGATAAAACCATTTTTGCTATAACTGACGATGTTTCCCGTTTCCATCCAACCCAATTTAAAGAATTCAACTGCAACTCTTTTGTATTTTGTTACAATCATACAAAGAAGAGGTTGTGAGGGGGGTAATAGTGCAAACGACAGTGGATCGAGCAATGTCACGTTCGACTCCATATTTCATTTTACTGTCTGTGGAAAAACCAGCAGTGAATACTCCCTTCACCATTTGCCTGTCTGGCCATGGCTGATACCCTGACTCATCCAAATTCAAAATAAATGGTGATGGGATGCCATTTAAAAAAGTGGCAGCGCAATGTAATACTTCAACACGGCATCTTCGTCGTAAGTCAATCGAGATTGGTCTTCAGCAAACACAGTAACAATCGAAAAGTTCCAATTTTTATGTATTTTATCATAAATAACATGGTTTGACACATCAACGTTGAAGGTTTTTATTATAAACAACCTCAAATAAGTTATGCTGATAGCTTTGCATTTTCCTGGAAACTTTTCATTATCAAGAATCAAATTCTTGACAATTCCCCATTGTGTTTCAGTTAAAAATGACGGTCTTCCGTTATCCTTTTTTTCCAAACAATGCCGTCTCCATACCTCTTCGTTTGTTGATATTTAACTGACTTGAAGTTAAAGCAAAGACTCTACATAGTTTATTCTCGGTCACCTTTTCCGTATTCATTCCATTGAACATTTCTCTCTCAATGTTCATCAAATACACCTGAACATTCAGGGGCAATTCAGAAAAGTTGCAATGTTTGCTGAATGTTCTTTGGGCTATTTCTTTCACTGGACCAGGACAATACTTTAAATTCTTTTCAAGTGTTGTATGGTCTAAGCCACTAAAAGCAACATTCCTGGAGCTCATAATTATATTATTTAGATTGTTTTTTTTAAAGAAAAACATTTTTATTTAAAAAAAGAAAAACAAATATGTAATTTTTGTTGAATCCACAGGGTTTTCTCATTCTCACATACTTTTCTCACATACTGTATTGTGAATACCAATGTGTCGTTCAAAAATGTGTTTGGTGCAATCGTTTTTTTAAATATAAAATCCACCCTCAGTTTCTATTAGTAAGTTACAATATCACAAACTTTTATTATCGATACTAGATGGAAGCTTTATGGTACCCACTTGCAAAATAAATAACAGGCGATGTTGTGCTAAATGGGTACACGGAAAAGTTGTGAAGGGGTGCACAGATAGGTTGTTTAAAAGTTGTATTGTAAGCCCTATTAAAGCTCTACATTTACAGTATCCACTTACCTATATTAAAAATTTACATATTATGAATATTTAATGGTTTTATTTTTTTAAATAAAAAGTCTAAAGTTAATTTTTAATAATATAATAATTAAAAAAACAATCGGTTTTATTTTTTAACTAAGTTGGCAAAAAAACTCATTTGGTAAGACTTAAAAAAATAAATATCTAGAAGAAAGATTGGGATAATAAAGTGTTAAGAAAATATGTTATAGTCGGGTGATAAAGGGGGTTAATTTGGGACAGAAGTAGTTAATTTGAGTAAAAAACTATAAAATATAATTTCTTTAACCATAAAAGTATTAGAAGGGTTTTTTCAATTAACTACTTTGAAAATAATAAAAGAAAACCACAACTTTCTATTTTTGATATTATTCAATCTTTGAAAACAATGGAAGAAGAAGAGAAAAGAACCCTTGATGAAACAACCACAAGCAATCAACATAAAAAAGCAATTCAAATACTAGAAATCAGTTTAAAAACTGTATTTCAATATATGTTCATGATGAATATGGTTAAAATGCCAGAGTTTAATGAATTAACAACAGTGTCAATCCTTTAAAGTGTCACAGAATCACTGAAAATCCATCATTTGTTGAAATCTTTCAATCTTTCGTTGTTAAACCATTCCCATAGAGAAAGGAAAAGAGAAAGACCATTTTAACATTAAAACAATTGGAGTTGAAGAAGAGCAGAAAAGAAATGAAACAAAGGAAAATTCTTTAACAAAACAAGTTTCAGACAAACCATAAAAAGTGCTGCATTTTAGACTTCCACATTTTTTAAGTGAACAAATTGAGGTGTTTTTGTTTATTTTTGAAATAGAAATTTATAATTATTCAATTTATAATCATTTAAAATAAAAAACTATAATTTATATTATTATTTTAATTTTATGTTTATTTTGACCTTTAAATAGATTTATTAAAAATTATAGTTTCAAAATTATATTTATCAAAATTAACTACCTTTGTCCCTTTTTAATGCTATTTATCCCCCGACTATAA